TAATAAACATTGATTTTGCCGCGGTCGGATCAAACGAATTTGGCCCGATAAATACAACTACCAGTAGACAACCTACCAAATAAGAATCATATTAGGGACCCACCAATAACAAGGTGCGAAACCTAAAATTCGGCAACGCATCTGAGATGGCTCACCAATGGGTAGCTTTAAGAATTGATAACTGTAAAACGGGCGGAGTGATCCCAAATCGAATCTCCCAACCAAATTCATTTTTTCCTCAAATTGCCACCTCCCACATCCCATGAGTTTCCTTTATATAAGCCGAGACATTCCCGAACTTGACATTCTTAATCCTGAGTCTATTCAATCGCTCTGACGTTCATCAGAAATCAGTCAGCTTTTTAGAGTCAGTGCGCGTTTAAGTTGAAATGACCAGACTGACTGCCTGACCCCGCCGATTGATCCTTGGGCAGACGATTTGAACAGCCAAGCGGCCTTTGGAACTGCAACCCCAGCTAGACACCAGTTTTCATAAAATCCTTCGTTGCCATTTCGCGTCCCCTTCTCGGTTGCGGTACAATCTTATACTCGTTATAGTGAACAACCGAGAGTTCACTCGCCCGACTGTTTCGCGGAGCCGTCAACCTAGGCGATCCCGCCAGCAAGCCCGGAGAAATGCGCGGCGATTGCTCGACCAAGCCTTTGAGGAGTGGCGCCGGACCCTCCAAGATGCGGAACACGCGGGCCTGATTCGCGCAAATTCTAATCCCCGATCTCCATCCCCAGAAAAGTCACCTTCACAAGTTTCCCCACCGCCCTCTCCTTCCTCCTCTGCTCCAACGCAAAGAATCTTTCCTGATACTCCTCCGCATTCTAACCCTTCGCCTCCAATTCGTTCTCCTTCTCCCGGGTCTTCTCCTCCTTATAATTTTTCCGACATAGGAGATTGGTTAAACCCACCTTCTCCTTATGAAAATCTATTAATTCCCGGATCTCCAGCAATCTCCATCTATGATTCCGATGGGAATCCTTTCTCTCTCCCATTTCCCCACGCTCGTTTCCGAAACGAACAACAGTTTGAAAACTCGCCATCTTCCACTCCTTCCTCCAATGATGACGAGGTGCAAATTATAGAGGATCCTCCCTCGTCCGCACCTTCCACCTCATCTGATTCCTCCCTTTGTGAAATTGTCGACGAAATACCGGCACCACGTCCCCGGTTTTATTTTAATTACGGCAACCATCGAACCTTAGAGTCGTTGTTTTCACAATTTGACCAACTCACGACTCCTCTTCTTCGGGGAATCTTCACAATAGGCCCGGATTTCCTTGACCGTGACGAAATCCGTTCGCACGTGAGAACTGCCCCCCGGAATTCATACATTCCCGTTTACCTGCCGCACTCCCAATACCTATACAAGGTCCCTATCGAATTCTTCTATAATTTCTTCCCCCCTTCAACTGCAACCCTTTATGAGATTCACGATTAACTTTTATTTACACTCCCCGTTATAATTTTATTGTTACATATCTGTGTACTAATCGATTTACATTGTAACTACGTCACATTATGTTAAATTTAATTTAATTTAATTTCAATATTCAACACCTTATCAATTATTTTAAGTTTCAAAATATTATTTATACCGATTCACTTCCCTCATTAACAATAATAAAATTAACGTAAGCATTTCTTGTGAGCATTTCTTTCTTGTATTGTACAAACTTCCATCAACCCTGACAACCAACTATGCCCTTATATACATTTACGCATACACTCCTGTTTGATAGCATTAGTTTAGCCTTGCAATTAAGGAACTAGTATTCTATATCTTTAGCTTTAAGAATAAACTATGTTTTTGTTAACTTAAATACTGTACTTCTTTAAAGACCTTCACCCCCATTCATTGCTTGCCTAACCGAGAGACGCGCTTGGTCCGATCCCAGGTCATAGGAATTAAGTTTTTTGACCTAAAACAGGACCGACGAACGTGCTGGTTCAATAAACGAAGTAATAGTGTCCTTCTAAGGACATTGACTCGTTTTCGAACCTTTGCAAAGCGCCTTCGACTCGCATCGTGCGCCTCTGTGCGTATCTGCGAGATAGCTTACTTAGTTACGTCCTTCCTAACCCTCTCCACTTCCAACTCTATCTCGTTCACACACGAAACTCACTCTCTCTACCTACAAATCCAAGCAAATATCCTGGGGTCTGGACGTAACACATGTAAAGAAGAAATTTCAGCAGCTGTTGTTGCTCCACTGCTGTGATTGCTCATGGAAATGTTAAATTTGAGTTATTAAATACAATTCGGCAGAGACAAAGAGCTCAAGAACATTCACAAATTGAACGAGTTGAAGGTGAACATTTCAGTGATGATGATTAAAGATAGAGGTAAATAAGCTTGAATTTTAAACACTGAAGATATTCACGTCGGAAGAAAAAAACCGATTTTTTTCAAGGGGTGATTTCATCCCTTTAAAACGGAATAGAGCTCCAACGAAAAATAGTTTCGTACTACGGATGAATTGCTATATTTTTACACAAAGTTTCAGATTTTTCTGAATTTTCGGGTTCCCTAACTTCCCTTGTCAGTTTTTTTTACAAGGAATAACGTTCCGTAATTAGTAGTTGGTATTTAAATTTAACTCGATTTTCAGACAATACGCATGTCTAAAAGACATTACAAATACGTTTTTTAAACATGCGTTCTGTTTGGATTAGTTTAGAATGTTTTGCAGAAATGATAATATCAATGTTTACCATCTTATATTCCTCAGAGAGCTCAAATGAATCTTTTAAAAATTCGGGATATCCTATTCGCTCATTTATCGAATCTGCTTTTTTTTTGGCCACCGCACGAGTCTCGTCATTCATCCAATGATTTTCGATCAGCAATTCATTAAAAGCTTCGCGAATTGTTCGAATCATTTCTAGAGCAGTCTCCTGAAAATCAGAATATACATTCTGCCTTACAAAGAAAAACAATTGGTTGTAGTTATATTTCTGAAATGCAAGATACTTACCTTACTTTCGTGATTAAAATTTTCGCGTATAAAAAGAGCTCCTACCGCCATCCCAAGTTTCTTGTTAGTCCATTCAACGCATTGTGACCATCTATTTCTTTCACTAAGAATGCCTACAAGGATCTTACGAAATTCAATTCGTTTCTGCTGATACTCGTCGATCATATGAGGCATAATTGACATAACGAATCGCCACAAAATATAATTATGTAAAGTTCTGTGAAATTAATTTTACTAAATGTAAAGATTCATGAAACTTGAGAGTTTTAGGCTGGATCAACAATGTACTCTTTGTTTCCTGCTTTTTGCTTTTTACCTCTTGCCTTTTTTCCTCTTTGCGACCGTTTTATCGACAATCGTGTTTCTTGTCATGCGTTTCCTGTCTCTTCCGAAGTTCGTCAACATTTAAACCCGGACAAAAATGAAGCATCAGGATATATAAGAAGCAAAAAGGTAAGGTTTATAAAAAGTGATAAAAAGCAAGAAACAAGATGCAAAGATCACATTATTCAGCCTTAGATCCAGCCTTCAACTGAATCTTATTTATAGTTAGAATTAAAAAATCTATAATTTTTCAATGAATAAAAATTGCAAAAATTACAAAAATATAAAAATTTGAAGTGTTAGAAAATAAAGACTCTAAAGATGTAAGAAATTCATTTGGAAATATACAGAATTAAAATTACAAATTTAAATTAAAAAATCTGAAAATCTTACAAGATTATGAATACTATGCTAAAGAAAAAAAATAATTTCATGAATATTTTATTTACCTTTGACCCGTCCTCGAGATAATACGGCCCATTTGAACGAAATAAGGCATCGCGTATATAACAATTGGTTCCTTTTCATCAATTGGCGTGTTAATAAACTCTCGTAGATAAACGAGCCACTGCAGCTGCGGAACTTCTCGTTGCAATTCTTGCAACGTTAATTTACGGTACATTGCCGAGGCATCTTGTCTATCTGCTTCCGGTAACGAAGCCTGAAATCATAAGAGACCATTGTGAATCACTGTAAATTACTAACAATAAGTATTATACTTTAAAATTTTCTGATAAAACTGTAAAAAAGAGAGACCTCCAATGATCTTAACCTTGACATACATAGGTAATAATATTTCCACGCGAAGCGACATTCTACTTTTGTAGATATATAACTTTTTAATAAAGAATGAGCGACGGTTAAAACTATCAATTGTTACTTAAGGCGATAAGAGTTTGACAACATATCATATCAAGATTAAGGTTATTAAAGATTGTTCTATTTTTATATAGTTTTATCTTCTTTCTCTCTCTCTCTCTCTCTCT